TATATTAATATATATATGAATACCTCTTTTACTTTTTATTTATATTAATATTAAATTTATTATTATTTATTTAAAAATATATTATTTTGGTTATATTTAAATAGCACACTTTTTACTCACTCTATTAGGTAACAATTATATTTATTAATAATAATATTTAGAAATATAGACTCTAAATCTTTTATAGTATAAATATCTTTTTTTAAGCATTTAATATTTATTTTATTTTATTTTTTTTATATTTTATAATTAAATTTATATTATTTTCATTAAAAAGATAAAGAGTTTTCTGTAAATTATTTTTGTTATTGTAAATATACTTTTTTAATATTTTTTGATGCAATTAAATTTGTGTTAATTCAATCAGATAAGTTAACTAATCTTAATCGTTCGGTTAATATATTTTTTATATTTTATTTTATTTTGTTTCATTTATATTATCAGTTTTTTGTTATCATTATTTAAATAAATTTCTCATGCCGTTAAAAAAATCGTTTATTTTAAAAACAAAATGAAGAATCAATATTTTCAATAATCTTTGAATGCAAACAAAGACTTTATAAAAAAAAATTATGAATTTATATTTCTAGAAAAATTTAATTTAAGTTTTGTAATAATCATTATTACGATATTTAACTATTATTATAAAAATTAAAAGCGAAGGTTTTCTTTATTGTTTTTAATTTTATTTTATTTATATTATGATTGTACTAGTAAATAAAGAAAAATAGAAAAAATATAATATTTGTAAATATGTTATAATTTTCTATATATTTTTTTTTAGTTTATAAGAAACTTTCTTTATTAAATAAAACTAAAATTAATATTTACAAAGTATTTGTTATGATATAATCAAATTTAAGTTTATTAAAATATTAAAGGTTTTTATAAAATTTTAATATTTAATTAGTAAATTTATTAATTATTTATTTTAAAAAAAGTATATTAATTATAATAAATTTATTCAAATCTTTAGTATAAATATAATTTTATAAAGGCGAAATAATTAAAAATTTATAAAAAAAAAAAAAAAAATTGATTTGAAAAAAATTAAAAATAATAAATTAATCTTTAAATAATATTTAAATTTATATTGACTGAATATATACTTATTTTTTTTAATAAGCAATAATACAAATATTAATAAAAAATTCTAAATAAAAATGCATATATTAATTTTATTATCATATTAATATTATCTAAAAAATTAAATAAACTCATTATTAAACGAGCATTAAACCATTTTTTTTCAATTCTTCTTAAATATATTTCAAGAATTCTCTTTTACTTTCATAAATTAATATTTTATTTTTAGGTAAAATATTAACATCTCTTTATTCGTTTTAAAAGCTAATCCTTAATTCATAATTTTCTTGTTTCCCAACATATATACTAAACAAATAGCAAAGTTAATTAGTCGAGCAAACCACAAATTTATCTTTATCAACTCTTCTAAGCAAATAGAAATATCCTTTATCTATCAAAACATATCTACAGGCTAACTATTAAAAAAGTTCTATTAAGCCTCTTGTTTTTTTTGGTTCTTTTTTTACTTTGTGCAAAAGTATTTCACTGTAATTTATCTATTGTCCCTTCTAAAAAATTTTCTAAGGTTTATCTGTTTCATTAACATTTATTTTTTTATTTTTTTGTATTTTAAAATGCTCATATGCATCTGCAAATGGATTTTCATTTTTTTATTAAGCAAATTTTGATTTAGGCTTTTATACAATAATTCCACTTTCTGCTATTTATTAAGGATTTAGTTAAGGAGATTAGCCACTTTAAAATCTTAAATCTTCAATATTAGATCCTTTTATATTTTTGTTAGTTTATTCATCTAATTAAGCTTAATATTATTTATCACTCATTTTTGTTTTTATTTTTTTTTAAAATAAAAAAAATAATATTATATATATATTATTTTTTATTAATATAAAAATAAATATTATTTATTATAATACCTTAATAAATATAATAATTATAAATTTATATATATAATTTATTATCCATAATTATTTTAATAAAAAATCAAAGATATCTATATAAAAATTATAGATTCTTATTAATTTCTAATAAATTAAAAAAAAAATTATTATTAAGATAATCTAAAAAAGAATTTTATTTTAAAAAAATATAAACATTTTTTAATTTATTTATTATTATCACTTAACAATATACTCTTATGTTTTGAAATTTTAATTTTTAATTTTTAATTTTTAATTTTTAATTTTTAATTTTTATAACGTTTAATATATATATAAATATATTAATACATATAATATTATATATTTATTATTTATTATTTATTATTTATTATTTTTTATTTTTTATTTATTATTTATTTTTTCAATTTTATTATAATAATTATTTTATATATTTATATATTATATTCTTTTTAATTTTAATGGAACAATATATTTTAGTATCTATTAAAAATTATTTCAAGATAATTAGGATTATTTTTTTAATTAAATTTAAATCATTACTTTTATAGTTTTTTTAAAAAATAAAGTTTTAGCTAAATCAATAGATTTTTAAAAAATATAAAGTATTTTCTTTATTATTTTTAAAAATTAATAATTTATAAAGCTTATTTTTATTATTTTCTAAAGTAAATTTTATTATAAAATTTAAATTATTAATAGTTTGCTATTAATATATTAAGAATAATATAATGAAAACAATTAATTATTAAACACCTATAAAATATAAATGATATGCTTAAGTCTGAAAAAAATTTAAATTATTTTTAAAAATTAAATATATATATTATAATTATATCATATTTTAAAAAAAATCATTTATATTGATTTTATTATATTTTCTACATAGGACCTTATTATCTATTATAAACTCTTTCTGTAACAAATGTTAAATGTAGTGTAAAAATATGTTTATCCCTATTCCATTCTGAATAAAATCTTCCTTCAGCTTAATCAATTTCAATATTGGGAATTTTAAAAGCAATATTTTCATAGGGTTCAGCTGCAAAAACCACATACTAATACTATTTATCTGGAGTTTCTACTTTTTATTCATAAGCACTCATAATCCTATAATGTGGTTTTTGATTTTTTTCAATTTAATCATAATCGATTTCAAAAGTTATTTATTTTTACCCAGATAAAGGATCTATAGACTTCAAAATTTTATACCCAGGCCTTCCAATTTTAATTACTTTTTTTTTTTGAATATTTTTATTCTAACTCATCTAAGACTATATATTCAATTCGACCCTTTCATTCAACTATCTCCTTTATAAATTTGTTTAATGCTTTTTTCCCTATGTATGCGCCAAATAGCTACCCTCATTTGTATGCAAAGTTAAACATAATCTACATTCATATGTACCTAAATGGTTTGTCATAAAATACGGATCTTTCTTTATATCAATTGTTTCTAAAGCTAACTTTCTTAAACGCTCTCTGTGTTCTATATTTGCGTCTTAGCTTGATGCCGGACCTCCTGAACCTGTTTTGGCACCTGGTCTGTGTTATCTGTCGACCATTTTTCTAAATATTTTTTATTTTTAGTTTTATTTTTACTAGACAAATTTTTATTTATTTATTTTATGTTTTTTAAAAATTTTAATATGAGAGATTTTACAAGATAATTTTTTATAGAAATTTTAGGATTTTATTCATATATTGAAAAATTAAAATAAAGTATAATTTTTAATTTGTAATAGTTTTCAAACAAAAATTATATAATTTTTTTTTAAGATTCATGAATTGAATACTAAATATATTTTTTTAAAATACTAATAAACAATCATTTAAAAAATAAATATTAAATTATATATTAGTTATTTTAAATTATAAAATAATTATATACTATATATTTATTAATTTTTTATATTTTCATTTATATTTAATAATAAAAAAATTATTAACGAATCATAAAACTTTTAAACAATACTTAGAAAGAAAAGAAAAAAAATATATATGTCAAAAGACAAAACAAACCCTATTGAATCAACTGACAGATTAAAATTTAAAAAATTAACATAAATTCCATCTATAGTAAAAAAAAAAAATATAACATAAAACTAATAAACTGATCCTTATAAAGAAGAAAGATTTGTCGAAAAAAAATACTACTAATATACAATTAATTACAAGAAACATATTTAATAGTTCAAGTTTTTATATAATCAATCATCTTTTCAATCAACTAAATAAAATAATTTATAGGATAATTAATAATAACTTTTAATTCCAAAAAAATTCGGCCAAAATATGTTTAGATTACCAACTCATTAAGATGAAAAATTTGTATAATAACCTTTTTCACTATTACCTCCTATTATTAATATTACTAAATAATATAATAGTGCACTCCCTAAAAAAAATAAAAATTGGCTGTTTTAATAAAAATTAAAATAAAATAAGTTTAATACGTAAACAGGATGCAAAGATATTATGTTTAATAAAAATAAAGAAAATATTTTAAAATTGTTATAATATAATAATATTACGATTTTTAAAAACTATAGTACTATAAATACGACAAGAATGTATAGAAAAGATAAAGGAAATTAAAATTTATTGTATTTTCATAAAATATAATGATTATTATTTAAAAAATAAAAAATTGTTTAGTAATTTAACATTGTTAAAAAAAAACATAAAAAAAGTTTGAATTATTATTAATTTGTAAGTATTTAATAGAAATAAATATTTAAAAACGAAATAATAAATAATTTTTGTTTAAAAAAAATATTTATTATAACCTAATTTAAAAATATATAAAATAAAATTAAATAAAATCAAATCAAATAAAAACTAAAAATTAATCACAACTTAGATTCGATATATAACTATTCAATAATCCCTTCATATTTCTTAGAAACGACATTTCTCTTAAGTTTTAAAGTAGGAGTCAAATCCCCCGACTAAATAGTAAAATCACCTTCCAAAACGGCAAATTTTTAAATCCTTTAAGCTTTAGAAATCACCTACTAATTAGTTCTATCAATTCCCTATTAAATAGCTTTCATAACTTTTTAACATTTTCTCGCTTCCTCTACATTTTTAGCTTGCGATCCCAAAATTTCGAATTCTCTTAAAGTCTCTGGGGAAAATTTATTGGTTAATATATCTCCTTCGGCAACATATTTAAATGTAAGTAAGACTGACAAATATTTCTTATTATCTCCTATAACAACTGCATTGGAAATAAACTTGAGTTATTCTTTCAAAATATTTTCAATTAAAACAGGAGCCACATTTTCACCTCCGGCAGTAATAATTAATTCTTTAATTCTTCCTGTGATTGACAAATTTCCATTTTTATCTAATTTCCCGACATCTCCACTATGTAAAAATCCGTTTTAATCAATTGTTTATCTAGTAGCTTCTTCATTCTTGAAATAACCCATAAATCTATTTCTTCCTCTATAACAAATTTCACCATTTCCATCTTTATCAGGCTAGGCAATTATTAAATTAGTCCCCTGAATACTTGCACCAGTAGATGCATAAAAATTACTATCAAAAACATCATAATTTTTAATATCAGACAAACATTAAGGACCTGCAGATTCTGACATACCTAAAGTAATAAATTTTAAAATATAAATATATATATATATATTATTTTCTTTTTTTAATAATATTTACCATAAGCAGAAATCAAATACATATTTAAAGATAAGAAATATTATCGAATAGTAGGTGATAAAGGTGCTGCACCATACATCAAATGTGTTGCTTCTTATAATCCTAAAGCTTTTCTGACATTATCAAATACTAAAGATTTAGCAATTCCAAAACCAAAAGGTAAATTCTAATTACGAGACTAAGCACCTAAAATACCTATTCCTTTAGCCCATGTTGCTTATTTTTAAATATATATATAAATATATATATATATATATTTATATAATATTTATACAAATCTATGTTTTTAACCATCCATTAGAAGAAGCTACCTCTTTCATTTTTTCTTCAATTTTTTCCCAAACTCTAGGTACTGAGAAAAAAAAAGTAGGTTTAACTTCCTTTAATGTATCAATTAAAGATCCTTAAAGAGCAGTCGGTTCAGCAAAATATGTATGACATCCGCTCAATATACATCCAACAATATCAATATTTTAAGCTGCAACATGTGAAAGTGGTAAATAAGAGATAATTCTATCATTTCCTTAAGTTTTTATATCATATTATTTAAGTACAGCTTGGGATGTCCAAGTATAATTATCATGAGAGAGCATGACTCCTTTTGGCATTCCTGTAGTTCCCGAAGTATATACAAGAGTACAGCAATTTCCAGGTTTTTAACTCTTCATTCTATTTTCTATATCGTCCTCAGCTTTTTCGCTTTTGAATTTCTTTCCAATTTCCATTATTTCGTTCCAAGACAATACATTTACTTTATCTGATTTAGTAAAATTATCACCTGAATATACTATAATATGCTTCAATTAAGGCAGTCTGTCTATTACTTTAAGATACTTTTACAAATTCTACTCGTTTTCTACAACTGCGACTTCACAATCAGAATTTTCGGCTACATATTGGCATGCTTCGGCTTGATTAGTAGTATATACACCCACAGGTAAATAAAATCCAAATATGGAGCCATAAAAACTAATTACCCATTCCGGAGAATTATAACCTAATATGTTTACACTCTTATATGGGGAAACTTTTAATGAAATTAAGGCTTTTCCGAATGTTTTTGCAGCTTCATAGTATTATTTAAAAGTCAAAGTTTTCCATTTACCATCTTTTTTTACACTTAAAGCAGGTTTTTCTGGTATTTATTTCAAAGTATTTTCGAATATTTCAATTAATGTTTATGGGATTTCACTTCCTTTGTTTTTTTATTTTTATTAGATTATTTTTTGTTTTTTTAATAAATACCTGGACCTTTTTTCTTCATTCTAATAGGCATTTCTAAAGTATAATCAGTTGTCCAATTTATATTTTTTTAAGGATCATTTTTGTCATATACTTAGCCTATACGTTGTAAACCTTCAGGAGAACAATAAAAATATTCATCATCTTATAATGTTAAGTTGGCTTGCATTTTTTTTTTTTATTTAATTGGATATATATTTTTTTATAATAATATAATAATAATTTTATCGAATATATAATTAAATAATACAATTAGTAATTTACATATTAAATCTATAATATTAATTTAACATATTATTTTTAGTATTTTTTTCTTTTAATATTTACTTTTTTGATTATTAAATATATATTAAAGTTAAAAATATTAATACTAAATATATTATAATATCTTATTTTTGCTAATAAATTTTATTAATAATTGATTTGTTTTTAATGAGAAGATTATTATAATGAATTTTAATTTTTATAGTTAAAATTAATAATGCATGCTTCAGATTATTCGAAAAAATTGTGAAATAAAATAGACTAAATATTTATTTTATTTTTTAAAAATAAATTATATATTTTTAATAATATAATATAAATATATAAATAAATATAATATATTTTTTTCTAACTTTTAAAATTTATTTGTTTTTTTTTCTAGGAATATTAATATAAAGCATTTTTATTTAATTATTTACATATGTTTTTTTTTAAATATTTTTATTTTTTATAGTATCAATTAAAAATTAATTTTGTATAAAAATAATAATCTATGTTAAATATAATTTCACAAAAAATTAAAAAATCATAATTCATTATTCATAATTTCTTTGTATTTACTTTTATCTAAAACAAATTAATTTTAAAAAAAATCTTTTTAAATTCCTTTACTAAAAATAAAATTATAATCTAAGCTATATTTCACACATTAGTATATAAATTATTTTCATGAAATATTATATTTAGTGTTAATTTTAAATAAAGGATTTATATAACTCACATAATTGTATTTTCTTTAATATTTTTAGTAAATTCATCAATTGATTATTATTTTAAAAAGCTAAAAAATATCAATTATATATTCCAAAATTAAACTAACAAGTTTATTTACCATTTAAATATATTCTAAAAGCTTTTCTTAATTTTTTTTATTAATAATTTCTTCTAACTAAATTATTCGTCTAAAATTAATCTAAATTATAAAATTTAAGTTTAATTATTTAAAAAAACCTTATATTAGTCCATTTTTACGCCATTTATTTAATTTTTACTAGCTAAAATCCTTCTACAATATTTTTTAAAGATAAATTTAAATTAATTTTCTTTGTATATAATATATATTCAGTATAATTTATTTTTTATTGTACATTTTTATATTAATAAACAATTTTTAAGGTAAAAAAATTAAATCCAAAAAATATTCACTATAAATTTCCTTAAAAAAAGATTTCATTCAAAAAAACTTAAAAATTTTTAGATTAAAGAATTTTTATTATAATAATATTTCAAATAAACAAAGATTTCGATTCTTAATTTATGTAATTTAACTATTAATAAATTAATTAAAAAAAATATATCATTATATTGATTAGAATTATTTTTAATGTTTTAATTGTTTTTCTATTGAATATAAAGGGAGAAACGATATATTCAAAAAAAAAAAAATGTAGAATTTTAAATAAATTTCTATATTAAATTTTATTTGCTTAAATTATAAAATAAAAATATTCATATGTAGCTTGAATCAATTATAAATGAATATGGATGTGCCTTTAATTAAAAAAAGGTAGAGTTTTTATTTTAGATTATATATTTTATTGTATGTTATTTAAATAGCAAAAATTAAATACACTTTGATATTAAGATAATTAAAAATATAAAAAATAATTGAAAAGAATAAAATTATTAATTATTCTTAAGATTTGCAAAATTTTTTTATTAAAATATATTAAAAATTCTTAATTAATAATAAAAATAAATTTAGAAAATCCAGAAAAATAATAAATATTTCTTAATACAAAATATTAAAATTATATAAATAAATATATAAATATATAAATATATAAATATATATATAAAAAATAAAAAAAAAAATTAATATTATTATTTAATAAAAGAAAGAATGAATGAAAGAAAATAATATATTTTTTAATTAATGAAATCATTTATAAATGTATTTTTAATATTATTTTTTATTATTTTAAAAATAACTAAAATTTATTAAAAATAAATGCTGAAAAAATCAAATGTATTAATTTATAAATATTTTACATTAATAAATATATATAAAAATATAAAAATAAAAAAAAATTAAAAAAAAAAATATCAATGAGATGTCAATTTATTTCATTATAATTTCTTTGATTATTAAGAATTCTATTATATGTTTATTTAAAGCTTTTCGCTTAAATAACGGGTCTCACGTCTTCAACATTTTTAACAGTAACAAAAACTTTAAGCCCTCTTAAATATTTTATTAAAGTAGTAATCTCTAAATCATTTCCGAATATGTTTCCAATCTAAATTGGATCATATTTCGATAAAATAATATCATTAGGGGTATAGGAATCAGTTAAATTCGGATAATTACTAATCATAATAATATTATTATTCGTATATTAATCCTAAAATTTTTCCTATAATTATTTAAAATCTCTATGTATTTATAAAGGTTCAACCGAAGTCTAACGTAAAACACCTTCATATGTTTCTCTTTTACATGCAATTACAAATTAAAGATTCCTATAATATCTTCCGAAGTAACTTTTAGCAAAATGACCTGTATAATCTTTGTCTAAAGAACTCCATACTCCTATATCAAAAAGCTATGCATTTTCAACAAATAAAAAATCTAAAAGTTCTGGACGACCATTACGATAATATATGTCGTATCCTTCTATATGTTCGTTTGATTTTACATTTTCTAAATTTTTTTCTAGATTCAAGTTAAGAAGCTTTGTTTTTTTATGCGCGTATAATATTGTTTTATTTATATCAAATGCTATTAAGACCTTTTTTATATTTCTTGTTGCCATTTTTTTTTATTTTTTTTTTGAATTAAATATAAAATATTTTTAAAGTATTAATTATATTTTTTTTTTATTTTTTTAGCTAAAAAATTTTAGAGTTTTCCAAAAAAAAATATTATATACCAAGGTTAAATTTAATTATTTAATTAATTTATTAATAAGCTTATTCATTTTTTATAAAATATTTTTTTTAGTTATAATTTAATCAATAATATTATTTGTAAGATTGTAAATTCTTTCATAACAAAACAGTAAATTTATTAAAACAAACTAATTTAATAAAATTATTATATAAATTTTATAAATAATGTATATTTAATTATTTTATTTATTTTAAATATTTTTATCAAAATAAAAATTATTTATAAAATAAAGATTTTATAAATATTTAAAGATATTTCTTTTTTAATATAATTTAATCAAATATTGAATATATTTTTATATTATACATAATTATAATCTTAATATAAAAATATAGTATATATAAAATTAATAATAATTAAATATTTATTAAATTATATATAAACATTTATTAATTTATTCTTATTAAAAAGATAACTTATAATAAAAATTACTAGTTTATATGAGTAAAACTTAAAAAATATAAATTATTTAATTTATAATTAAATTAATAACAATTTTTATATATATATATATAAAGTAAAATATATATACTGATCTTATTTTTTTATCCTAATTATTTATAATTTATAATAATAAAATAAAAAAAAATTATATAATTTTTATATATTTTTTTATTTTTTTCAAATTTAGTTATAAACGCTAGACAATAACAAATTATTAACTAAACAGTTTTTCTTAATTGATTTTTACAGAAATTTAAAATAAACACAAATTAAAATAAAGAACCCTATATTTCCAGCACAAAGTGCAAACCCATATTTTAAATAAAGAACATTATTGATCTAATCAATAATCTAAATAACGAAAACTATAAAAACCCAATAAAAAAAACCCGTTAAATTTAAAAAAGAGCATATCCTTATAAAAGTTTTAAATTTAAAAATTTTATTAACATTTTCAATTTTTTTATTAAACCAAAAATAAAACTAAAGCTTCTAATATAAAAATAAAGTTTATATAATTAAAGCCAGCACAAATATTCCAAAAGAATATATTCCTCCTATCTATATGTTATTCGAGTCAATTAATTTATTCACTCTTATATTGCTAATATTTATATTATAATTTAACAATAATCCATACTGTATATTATCTTAATTTGAATTATCAAAGTACCATGGAGTGTAAACAATAGTAAATAATTAGGTTAATATTTAGCATATATGGAAAAATATTATCAATATCATATGGTTTCTAAGAATTTTATTTTTCATAGTTTATGTCATTGAAATTACTGCTGACAAATCCATATCACTTGTAAAAGACTCAACATTAAGTTTCATTTTTATATATTTTATCAATATATTTTCTTTCTTTTTTATATTTTTTTAAAAAAAAATTAGTTAATTTATGTTTTAATATATTAATAATAAATATTTTTTATTATTTATTATTAAAAAATAAATAATAATATAAAAATGATATAATAATAAAAATATAAAAATTAACACAATTTTTTAATATTTCATATATTAAATGTAAAGACTGTTATATCATTAAAATTATTTTTTATGCTAGAGTTAATAAGATATATCTAAAAAAATATAACTCAATCAGTTTTCACTTATAAATTTTTATACTAATCTTTTATAATTTCATTTTTCTTTTATGTTAAAATTAATTTTATGTTTTAATTTATTTTTAAGTTTATATTTTTATAGTAATAAGAAAATAAACTATTTGTATCTTTATATTGCTATCTATTAAAATAAATTTATATAATTTTTTTATTTTTTTTAAGAATTAAATTATTATAATTTTTAATTAAATACTGTATTTAATTTATAATTTCAAAGATTAATATTAAAGTGTTATCTTATTAAAATGAAAATAGTTAAAGATTTTAAATTTATTTTTATATTACATATATATATTAATTTTAAATATTTATTTTAATTTTTTTAAAGAACGACTATATACAAATAAGAAGGTAAGAAAATTGATTATAATCTTTATTCTTATATTATTTTTTTAAAAAATTTTAAAATAAAAAAAAAAAACATAATTACTAAAAGTTATATATATTATTTAATTTATATTTTTTATAAATTAATATTAATATTTATTAAATTTATTATTTATTTAGTATTTTATAACCATAATATTTAATTTTTTTTATAAATTTATAAATAGCTAAGAATAAAATTTTATTTTTTTATAATTTTTATTTCTAAAATTTAATAATAAATAAAAAATTATTAAAAACTTTAAAAAATACATAAAAATTTATATTTAGATTTTATTATTTTAAGTATTAATTAATTGATTATAATTAATATTTTAAATAATGATAATACTATAAAATATTCTATGGTTTTTGTTATTTAAAATAAATAACAATTAAAATAAAAATAAAAATAAAAAACTAATTATTTATATTTTTAATAAAATTATATTTTTTATAAAATTAAAGAAAAAAAATCTAAAAAATAATAATTAAATGTATAATTTAGAAATGAATTAAAAGAATGTAATTTTATAGATAATGAATATATATTTAAAATAGATGGACCATTTGGTGAACATATAAAATATCTTGACACACCTAATAAAAATATAAAATAAAAATAGAAAAGCTTAATAAGTATGTTTTAATCTGGATTCTTTACAACAGATATGTTAATAGAATATTTATATACTCAAATAAAAGATTAAGAAATACATCAATATCTAGTAAATAAATTATATACAATTAAACTTTTTGATTTGGAATTTTATATAGCCGAAATAGTGTAAAAAAAATATATATATATAAAAAGAAAATTTAAAGAAATAAAAAAAAGTTATTTAGCAATATGTAAATCATCTGAATTATTAGAAAAGTTTTTAGTTGATTGTTCATAAATGAGTTTATCTTTATACTTAAAAGTATAGATGAATAAATAGAATTTATATTAAAAAATAAAATTATATAAATATATATTTATATATATATTTATGTATTTTATATATATTTATTTAAAGATAACTTGGATTTTATAATCGTATAAATTATGCTGTAAGTTATATATGATAAACTAGCATAGATAAAAAATTGAAAAATTTGAAATTGTAAAATATATTTTTATATGAATATATTAATTTTAAAATTTAGTTAATAGAAACATAAATGGTTAATAATGCTGCAAATTAAATTAAATTAAATATTTGTTAAAATAATTCTGAAGAAGAAACATTTAGTATTATTTTTATATAGTTTTTTTTAAATTCTTTTTATAAAATTAAAAAGGAATTTTGGAAATTTTCTAAGATAAAGAGCATAGATCTTAATATAATACTATATTGAATTTATTTATTAATAATTTAATAAAAATATCACTATATTTAAAAAGATTTCCTGAAACTGAAAGAAAATAAATATTAAAAGAGCATATTGAAAAAATAAATAATTATCTTCACCAAAACAGATGTAAATATAAAGGAATATCATATTTTTAGGGAATAGTTATTCCTTTTTCAAAAAATAAAGACTAATACTATAATTCAAATACCGTTTATATAATACTACTATTTATTTATTCATATTTTTTTAAAAATAATAATAAAGCTTATAAGAGTATTAGATGAGTCGTTTACAGTTTTTAATACAAAAAAAAGAGCTCCATATAAAATAGTAATAGAAACAGTAGAGTAAAAAATAATAAGTATAATACTAAAAGTTTAATCTATTTTTTTAAATAAAATTAAAAAAATAAATAAATAAATAATTAAAGTATGTAAGAAATAAAAGAAAATATTGATTTTTTCATTTAATTGATAAAAAATTAGTAAAAAAACTCCTAAAGTTTATAATTTGAATAGGAATTTCAAAATTTAAATTTAGTAAAGGAAGAAGTTGAAAAAGACTAAGATAAATATAAAGGATTTGCCAAATGGGCCGAAATAATATAAAAAGAAGAAATAAACAAGCAATAAAAATTTGATATTACGAAATTTTTTTAATAAAAAAAAAATAACAATATTGAATAATTCACAATAGATAAATTACATAAAATGGTAAAGTAGCAATAAGAAGGAAAAGATGCAAATTATAATCCAAATAAATTCTAAAAAACATTTAAAAATTAATAGATTAATTAATTTTCTTTATAAGAATATAAAAAGCAGGAAAACATGTAAAAATATTAGAGAAATTTGAGCGTTTTTAATAAATGTTTTAAATAAAAAAATGAAATTATTGAAAAAAGGCATTCTTTCTGTTTTAATTAAACTAAAGAAAAATAATAAAAAAATACAAAAAAATATAGAAAAAATCCAGAAGATTTAAAGATTTATGATGTAATTGAATTTTTCGATTTTCTCAAGTCTAATTATTAAGATAAAATTTTACAAATTACAAATATTTATAATTATTTACATTATGATATTATAGTCTAAAATTTTTATTAATAAAATCCCCAAAAAAATATCCTAGAAATACAGTTCCCTAGAAAGTTCGGACCCTGGGAGGATATATGGGATGATAAATATAAAGAATTAAAATAAAAATCGCCCTTTAAATTCATGAAAAGCTATAAATTGAGACCTTTAATAGTAAAAGGTGGTGATGATTTAAGATAAGAACTAATCGCAATGTAATTAATAAGTAAATTTAAATAAATTTTTGATGAAGCTAGAATTCCTTTATATTTAAGACCTTATGAAATAATTGTTGTTTCTGAAAGTTCAGGATTTATAGGTAATATATATTTTTATATTTTTTGTATTTTTAATAAATTAGAATTTTTACCAAATACTTTAAGCATTGATGCTATAAAAAAAAATGTGCCAAATTTTAAAAATTTATATGAGTTTTTTTTAAAAACTTTTAAAGAAAACTTTGAAGAAGCTTAAAAAAAATTCATCGAAAGTTTAGCTGGATATTCCATTATTTGTTATCTATTATAAATTAAAGATAGACATAATGGAAACATACTAATTGATAATTAAGGCCATATTATTCATATTGATTTTGGTTTTATTTTGTCTACAAGCCCAGGAAATGTCAAATTTGAAACTGCTCATTTTAAATTAATTAATGTATATTTACATATATATATATATTACTTTTAATCAATAATTTTTTATATTTATTGACAACATAATATATATATACATAGGAATATGTATAATTAATGCATGGTAGAGATTCTGAATAATTTGGTTATTATAAAACTTTAATGGTCAGGGGATTTATGGAGTTAAAAAAACATACGAAATCATTTGTTAATATAATATAAATTATGATGGAATAATCTAATTTATAATGTTTTTCTGAATTTGATATAGTTTAATTTAAAGAAAGATTTGGTGAGAAATTTACTGATAAGGAAGTATTTATTTTTTATACCTATAATTTTTATCATATATATTATTTATTTTATTAAGTTTATCGAATATGTAGATAGATTAATTGATTTTAGTTGTAATAGATGGAGCACTAATTAATATGATAAATTTTAATTATTAACTAATGGTATATGTATTTGATATTATTATTTTTATTTTTAAAAAAAATATTATATATTTAATTTTAAAATTAAATTTTTTTTTGAATTTAAAAAATAAAAATAAATATATTTATATATATAAAAATCTTCTTTTGTTTTAAAATCATTTAATTAATTAAGAAGTTATACTTTTTATTTTTAATATAATTTTAAATCAACTTATTTGAAATTATATTATTGTTTAAGTTTTCAAATTGTATTTCTTCTCTTATTAGCTTATTATTGGTTTAATTATCAAATTATATTATTTAGTTTATTTCACTAATTTTTTTGTTAATTAAAGTTTTCTGAATATTAATAAAAATAATATAAAATGATTTATATACTTACTTATTGTGAGTTTTTTTTTTAAGATTTTAATTTAAAGCATTTACAAAATTTTTTAATAATTCTTTGTTCTAATATTTCGTTTATAATTTGTGTTTATTCAAAATAAAAATGTATGTACTTTTTTTTTGTTAATTTATTTACTCGTATTCTAAAGGATATAATTAACATTTTAATTATTTAATTTCTTATAATTAATCTATTAGTCTAAATATATTTATTTTCTTAAGTTTAATTTTATAAAAATAAAATTATTTTTTTCAAAGTGTTCTCATATATTAAATTAGACATATTTTATTTTAATTAAATAATTTAAAAAATGAAAACATTTGATAATTTATGTAAAAATTAATAGGATAATTTTTTTGATGAAAATAAATGAATTTTATATATATAATATATTATAAAAAATAGTTTATAATAAGATTTATTATAATATAATATAATATAAAATATAATAAAAATAATTATAATTCCTAATAATTTATAAAAATCTTTAAATCTTTTATTTTATATATTATATATTTATAAATCTAATAATATTTTATTTATATTTTTTATTTATTTTAAAAATAAATCTATAAAAAAAAAATGTTATACAAAAAAAAGTAATATGTAAAATATAAATAATTTTAAAAGTTAAAAAAATAAGTTTTTAATTAAATTAAAAAAAGTTAAGAAAAAATTATATTTTAATATAATTATATAAAATAAAAAAAATAAAAAATGGGTTGTTGTGAATCAAAAGATAGAAAAAATATAAATGAAAAAGAAACATGTGATTATCAAGACTCAAATAAAGGAAAAAAAGCAAATGAATTAATAAAAAGACCCGAATATTACAAATCCGAAAATCAATCGAGCAAAACAAGTTTTTATACACCTCCTCAAGAGCCAAGCGATTTAATGATACAAGACGATGATTCATTTTTATACGGAAATAAATATAATTCATAATTAAAGGTTTAAAAAAAAGTATTTGAATATGATACATAAAATAGAAAAACTTAAATAAAATAAAACTATGAAGAAATAACTGACTAATTAATAAGAGGGGGATCTATCCCTATATATTTAAAAAGATCATAAGCTTTAATTATTCCGAATTATTAATAAGGTTTTGATATAAAAATGCTATTAGAAGATACAAAATTTGCACTAGAAGATTTTTAAAAAAATTAAGAAAAAAAAACAATGAAGTTTTTACTAAATAATTCCAGTAATAAATAGAATAAAATATTGATGCTTTTTAATATAATTATAAAAATGTCAATGATAATATTAATTCAAAAGGTTTATATAGATGGGATGATATAAATATTTAGTATATAATTATATATATTAATAAAGAAAAATATATATAAATATATATATAATTATTAAAATTTTATTTTATTTTTTTTAACATTTTTTTTGTTTTGTTTAGAAATGAATTAAATTAATAATAATAAAATACATTCTATTAATTTAAATAATAATTTTAATAATAGATAAACGAAAACAAAGATACTTTTAATGACTATTATTTATATAGATTTTTAAAAGCCAAATAATTTAATATTATTGAATCTTCTGCCTTATTTTAAAATCATCTTTAATGGAGAAAATAAAATGATATTTAAAATATTTTTTAGTTTAAATTTGGTGAATTAGAAGAAGTTAAATAAGTTTACCCACATGGTTTTCATTTTACAAATATAGAAGTATATTTATTTATTTTATTTTTTAAAAAAATATATGTATAAAGGGAATGCCTATTTATATAGAAAGATTAGGTTAATTAAAATATGATGAACTTTTCAAAAAAACTAATTAAGAAAGACTTATGAAATATTATACATAACATTATGAAAGAATAATAAAATACATATTTTAGTTATGCTCAGCATAGAAAGGAAAAAGAATAAATAAAGTGATAATAATATTAGATTTGAAAAACTCATCTTTTAAAACTGATTAATTAGTTAATTTTTTAAAGTTAACAACTAATCTTACAAAAGAAAATTATCCAGAAATATTACATAGGTTTATATTGTTTTTTTTTTAAAAAAAATTCAATAATTAATAAATTTAGAATGTATATTATTAATAATGGATTTATGTTTAATTTAGTTTGGGGTATAATTAAAAACTTCTTAAGTTAATCTACTTAATAAAAAATACAAATTTTAGGAAATAAATATATGAATACTTTATTAGAAGAAGTAATTTTTTTATTTTATGATAATTTTTTTTTTCTTTTATTAGATACCTATAGAAAATTTACCTAAATTTATAGGAGGAAAATGTAATTGTAAAGAAGAAAATTGTATAAATTATAATTATGGACCTTAATAAATATGATTATAAATATTGAAATTTTTTATTTATGTATTTTCTAAATTAATTGTTATTCTAATAATTTTATAATGAATATAAAACAAAAAATTAGAATTTAAATATTTAGTAATTATTATTTATATAAATATTTTATTTTTGTAGATATTTTAAAGAATTGTAAAAAATAAAAATAAAAAATTACTTTATTAAAAATGTAATTAAATAAATAAACTTATAATAATATTTTTTTAAAGGTTTTAATGCGAAATAAATATATATATATATTAATTAATATAATTTTAATTTATTTTTAAATATATTATGAATAAATCTTATAATATTAAAAAATAAAATAATATTTATTAAATATATATTTAATTATTTATATGTTATAATATATATTTATAAAAAAAAATTATACATATATTTATATATTATTAGTTTTTATTATTAATTTATTGTATTATTTTTATTTCTATTATTATTTTATTAAAAACTAATTACGTTTTCATTTTAATAGTAGTAAAAAACCTATACAAATTTACGTTTTTGCAATTTAGTATTTTTTTACTTATATAAAAAATCTAAAACGTATTTATATTAAAAAAAAAGAAGAAAAATATTAAAAACAAAAAAATAATCAAATATAACTAAAAAATCAAAAAAAAATATTAAATAAAAGTAATAAAAATATTATAAAATTAAAATAAAAAAAATGAAATCAATATTTTTAATTGCATTATTTGCAACAGTTATCTTTGCAACTCTTTCTAATAAAGAAGTTCATCTCTAACTTTCTGAAGTAATTAATAATTATATATATAAATATATATTTATATACATAGATCTAAAAAGAAACATTCGGATAGACTATGTTAAATGCCATCTAAATGAATATGAACTCAAATAATTCTCCTGAATTAATTAGAGCTTTATTAGAATAAATCATACATTAATTAGCTGGAGATTAAGAATAAGCTGATAATAGAATCGAAGAAGTCAGAAGCAGTTACAGAGAAAATTTAGATTCATTATCCAACAGAATCACATAAACCACAAACACGATAACATCTCTTGAAAATTCCATCAAATTGAATAAAGTAAGCCTCGATGATGCCAAAACTTAATTAATTTAAGCTTAATCTGACTATGATAATACTGTAAACAGTATCGATGTTGGTACAAAAGAAAGAGCTGAAGCCAACTAAAAATGGAAAGAATCCGATGCTGAATTGACAGAAACATTAGCTTCAGTCGACGAAGCCACTAAATTAATTTAACACATGCTCAATGGTGTTTCTTTCGTATAAGTAAAATCTAGATTTGATAAAGTCTTCGATAAACTCAAAAATAACTAATCTAAATAAGCTTCTTTATTCAGACCTTTAGTTATGGCCCTCTCTTAAATCAGCAATAAATTAGATTACAACAATGTATAGAAAATTCTCAACTTATTAAACTCTTTAAGATAATCTTTAGCTGACGTCTAAAATAACAATAAAAATGTAGAAGAAAGATAATCTAAATAATGGGATGAAGACCTTGTACTTTTATTATAACATAAAAAAAGATACTATGAATAAATCTTAGAAAAAAATACCTTAATTGGAAATCTTGAGTCTTCTATTTCTAGAGAAACACTCTCACTTGCAAATAATAGATTGACTTTAGATACTTTAGAAAATGAACTTAAAGCAGTGAAACTTTAATATAATAATGATGAAGAACACTACACTAAATTCTCTACTGAAAGGTTTCTTATTTCTTATTATTTTTTTAATTTATTTTATATATTTTTATTTTTAATAACATAGAGAAAGAGAAACTGATATTCTTGAAAAATTAAATGATTATTTAGCTGTTAAATTTGGTGCTGTTTCAGAATTCCTTTAAATTTAATGAAATAATTGATAATTATGAAATATTGATACAGTGAATATATACTTTTTAGTATAATATATATTATTTAGTATTTTTTTTTTATATTTTTTTATTTTTGTACGAAAAAATATTAAAAAATAAATATTTCAATTATAATTTTAATAATATATATGATATTTCTAAAAAATGTATTATCTTTATTTTAAATGATTTAAACACTTTGTAAAAAAGCAAATAATTAACATTTAAAAAATATATAATATAAAAATAATTTTTTTTTTTAAAAAAAAAAAAAATATTTATATTCATTAAAAAAAAAAAAAAAATTATTATAAATAAAATTTAAATTATAATAAAAATTAAATGTGATTTTTAAAATATAAATATATATTAAATATAAATAATAAAAAAAAATTCGTAAAGTATTAACTGTTAATTTATGAATAAAAAATAAATATATTAAAAATTATTACTATTATATATAAAAATTCAAATAAAGAAATAAAGAAAAAAAAAATATAGTTATTTTAAATTAAATAAAAAAAAATTTGAAAAAAAAATGAATTAAAATAACGAAAAAATAAGGAATTATAAAAATTTAAGTCAAAACAGAAATAAAGAAAAATTAGCCAATAATTAAAATAATAGTATAAAATAATCATAATCATAATAATCATAATCATAATAATAATAATAATAATAATAATAATAATAATAATAATAATAATAAATTTAACAATAATAATAATAATAAATTTTAAAAATTCAATTCCAATTTCAAAAGTACTTAAAAAATAATTTAACTTGCTTAAGTATTTTTACACAAGCAACCATCAATGGTTTTAAAGAATAAAACATCCAATATCTCTAAATAATTACAGTAAAAAGTATAAAAAAATAAAAATTAAAATATATATATATTTAAAGACAAAATTATTTAAACCTAAATTTATAAAAATAAATATTTTAAACCATTTAATTTAAAGATAATAACAAAACAAATTATAAAATTTAAATTCTATATTTTCTATAATTTATATTTATTAAATTTATAAAAGGTAAATATAAATTAAGTATAAACCGCAAATGTTTCAAGAAATTTGTCTTATTAAAGTTTATTACCTTCTCCTAAAAATTATTAAGGCAGTAATTTTTAATATTTTTAAAAGAAGAGTAATAGTAGATGCTCTTAAGGAAATATATTAAATGAAAAGAATATAATAGGATCAGAATAAAATTTAATAATTAAAAAATAAAATAGTATATAATTATTTAATTAAAACTAATTATTAAAAGATAAATAGGAGGTATTTTAAAAAATTAATAATTCAATATAAGAAATGAAAAATTAATTATAAAAAAAATAAATAAATAATAATAATAATAAAAATAATAATAATAATAATAATAATAATAATAATATTAATATTAATAATAATTATATAAATAATAATAATAGTTAACCCATTTACAAAAATAATAATAATAATGCAAATTTTAATACATTAAATTTTTTAAATAATAATTCAAATATGAATTAGAGTTAAGAAAATACAAAAGATACAAACAATTATATAAGTATTAATTAAATTTATTAGTTATATAAATATATAAAAAGATAATATTAATAAAAATATGTTTAATTATTAGTATGTTATTGGTAAAGGAGGATTTGGAAAAGTAATAATAATATAAAATAAATATATGTTTATTTAAAATATTATATTTTTTTTTTATATAAAAAAAATATATATATAATAATTATATATATATATATATATATATATATATATTGATTAAATATATTTAAATTGCTAGTCATTTTATTATTTATATATATTTATATTTAACATACATTTTTTGGTTTACAGTTTTTTATATATTACAATAAACAATAATTACAGGTTTGGAGAGTAGAAAATAAGAAAACTAAATAAATTTATGCCATGAAAGAAATGCTTAAATCAAAGTTTTTTTATTTCTAAATTTAATATATTTTTAATAAAAAATAGAATCATAACAAAAAGAAGTGTTAACTCTGTTATGAATGAAAGAAATTTACTCTGTTACTTAAAACACCCGTAACTATAAATATTTATTTTATTAAAATAAATATATATATTTAATAGATTTTTAGTAAATATGAATTATGCATTTTAAGATAGAGAAAATCTTTATCTATTAATGGATTTAGTAAATGGAGGTGACTTAAGATTTCATTTAGTTAAACATAGGCGATTTAGTGAAAATTAAACAAGTGAATATAATCATTATTAATATTTTTATTAAACAAAAAATTAAAATATTAGAATTTTTTTTATGCTGTATTATATTAGCATTAGAATATTTACACAATAATAATGTTATTCATAGAGATGTAAAACCTGAAAATCTAGTTCTTGATATAGATGGATATATAAAGTTAACAGATTTGGGAGTTGCAAGAGTTTGTTGTGAAGATAATGCATAAAACACGTCTGGAACTCCAGGATATATGGCTCCTGAAGTTATGTGTAGACAAAATCATGGAATCGCAGTTGATTATTTTGCTTTAGGTGTTATTGCTTATGAATTTATGATTGGAAAGGTATTTATATGAATTTTTTTTAATAATAAAAAATATAGAGACCTTATTAAGGTAGAAATAGAAAAGAAATAAAAGATTAAATTTTATCAAAATAAGTATAAATAAAATAACATGAAATTCCTTACGGATATTCTAAAGAGGCTGCTGATTTTATTAATAAAGTATTTTTTTTAAAAATAATATAAAATTATAATAAATTTTTTTGTTTATAAATTGATATATAATTAAAAAGTGTATTTAAAGAAAACCAAACAATAGATTAGGTTTTAATGGACCATAGTAAGTAAAGAATCATCCATGGTTTAAAAACTTTAATTGGGAATAATTAATAAATAAAAAATTATAAGCACCTTTTATTCCAATAGTATTTATATAAATAAATATTAATATATGTTAAATATCTATTTATAATAAAAATTTTAAATTATATAATAATATATAATTTGTAATAAGCCTATAGAAGAAAATTATGAATATATATAGTAAATTTCTGAAGATGGAATTGATTCTAACGAAGAATTAATATAATAAAATTCTATACTTTTAAGAAAAAATAGTGTATAAAGTAAATAAAATAGTTCTTATAAAATCATATATATATAAATATATATATATATATATATATAATTATATATATATATATATAAAAATAATTTAAATATAAAATATAACTACATTTATATGAAAATAAAAATATGTAATCATATATTTATATAATTTTTTATATAATTAATGATAATTAATTTTATTTTTATATGTATTAATTATATTATTTTTTTATTATTAGATTTATTTTCTGGTTATAATTTTAATCTTTAAATTCATTCAAAATAAATTAATAGCAAATATCATTAATCTTTAAATACAAATTAAAATATTGATACATAATAATTATAGATTTAAAATAATAAAAAATTTTAAATAGAATAATCATGAAAAAAAAAATATATTTATACTAATATAAAACTAATACAAATTTTATTTTCCTAAAATTTTTTATGTATATAAATATATGTATTTATAAATATGTATATATATATATATATATAAATATATATAATTTTTTTAGTAATTAATTATTTAAATATTTTAATAAATTATTCAATATTTTTATTATTTTTATATTTAATATCTTAATAATATATATTTTTTTATTTCAATTTTTTTATTGAATTATTCATGAAATATTTTTTATATTTTATCTAGAAAAAATCCTAATCTAATTGGAATATTTGCACTTTTTATATTACTTACTTCCGTTTTAATTATTATTTTTTTCAAATCAAAAGTTTCAAATCCATATTAAATTAAATTTTTTACACATTAAGTCATTATTCCTTTACCATTATATTCCTCGTCAAGCCAATATCCAATTTCTCCTTAAAGTTTTCCTAAATCAATAATTTAATAAGAAACACATCCTATAACAATATTTGAATTTGAATCGAAAATTAAATAAGCTAATTTTGTTTTATCATCATGGCATTATTGTAAGAATTAAATAAATTATTAAGATTCATCTAATGAGTTTATATGGATTATTGAAGGCGTTTTTTTTATAAAAATTCTCTGTTTTTTAATATGGAATTCAGTAATAGTTATTTATGTTCAGTTTTTATTAATTCGATGTGTATTTTTTCGTTTATAATAAACTTTTCTTATAGTTTTATTTACATATAGTCCTTCAATTTTTTTTATAAATTAATATCCATTTATTTTTATATATTTATAACATTAATTTTTATTATGTTTTATATATATTGTCTTGTATTATTTTTAATTTTAATAATATTGATATATACTAATTAATAAATAAAATTTAAATATTTTTTTTATATATAAATTAAAATAAACTCAATAAAATTATTTAAATTTTTATTTAATATGTATATATATTTAAGTTTTATTTACTAAATAACAAATATTTTAATACATAATTTTATATATTTATTAACATTTTTATAATTATGGAAAAATTATTTTATATATAAATTTATATAAGGAAAATAAAATAACTATTCTATCTACAATTTTTATATAATTTCTAATTTCGAATATTTTTTAAATATTCTAATAGTAAAAAAGAATTTTATTATTAACTTATAAATTCAAACTAACTAATTGAAAAGCTCCATATAATCAACTTTATTATTTTTAGTCAATGTTTATTCTATTAATAATTCTTTATTTTTATTATTTTTAAAAATATTAAATCTTTATTTATTCATTTATTTATAATGATTAATATTTTTAATATTTAATCCTTATTTTAATACATTATCTTAATTTAAATTTTACATAAATTAACTTTAAGTATTCTTATAATTATTCATATTTTAATTATTATATTATTATTAATTTTAAGTAGATTAAGATTAATCAGAAAAATTTTGAAAATTATTAATCTATTATTTTTTATTTATTTTTTCTTTTGTTATGTTTTTTTTTATTCTTTATTATTTTTATTTTATTCAACACTTTCTTTATTATTTAATTTTCTTATATGACATAATATATAACTTACTGTTTATTAATCGTTATTTTTATATAGAATAACTGCATGCATTCTATAAACAAAATCATCTTATTATTATTATTTTTTTTAACATTTTTCGGCTGATGCAACAATATAAGTTACTAAAGGATTATTTTTAGGTAAATTAGTTGTAAAGTTCATTTTTTTCCTTTTAAATAATTTAATTAAATATTTTTTTATTTTATTTTTCAAAATTTAAAATATATATTAATTTTTAACATTCATAAATATAATTTTATATATATATTAAATTATTACCATCTATATTTTTTTTAATATTTATACGGGGAAAACCAAATTATGAACCTATACAATTTCCTTCTACATAATATATTTGTCCATCTATTATTTTTTATAAAAATTAATATATTTATGTAAAAAAAAAAAAATATATTTAAAAAATTATTTTTAAAATTAAATTAGAGTGTTTTTTTATTTTTATTTTTATTTTTTTTAAAAAAGCAAATAAAAAAAACATATATATAATTATATATATTAATATATATTTTTCTTTTACTCTAAGGTTCCATATAAATATTTTAAGGATGCGTTTTTTAAGAAAATGTCTCAAAATTATAAAGACTACAATATTTTTCTTTATTTAGGAGCATTTCAGCGTATTCATTACCTATTTTTATTCATATAATTTTATTTTAAAGTAAAATAAATATATATTTCAATTACCTTTTAACCATTTATTTTTAATATCAAATTCACGAAATTATAATTCTTTTATCATAATTATAAGGGTGAATTAGCTGCTTAAATTATTTAGTATAGTTTAAGTAAAAAAGTAAAAATATTAATTATATTCTTTTAGAGATAACTTAAATTTTATTTATTAGTTTTTTTTATTTTTAGTTTTTTATTAAAAAATAATATTAATTATAAATTAATGTTTCTATATTTATTTTGTTTTTATTTTTAATATTTATATATATGTTTTTATTTTTTTAACATATAATTATTAAAATTACCCATTAGTTTTTTTTTATTATACATTTAATGTATTCAAAGTATATATATATTTTTTTTAATTGTAAGTTTTAAAAAAATAAAAAGCTTTAATTTTCTATAACACAACGAAGAATTTTTATTTTAATTTTTTTATTTTAATGTAAAAGAAAATTAATAAAATAAAAAAATAAAACTATTATATAAAATCATATTACTAAAATTAAAATTATTCAATACTTTTTTAGTGTATATATTTTCTTTAAATAAATATTATTAAATATAATTAAAAATAAATATTTAATAATTATATATTTAAATTTTAAAATATTCTTAACTCAATAAATAAATTTTTCCATTTTTTAAATATGTATTTGATAATTTAACTTTTTTTCTATTATTTTTTAAAATAAAATAATTTTTTTTTTTCTCATATAATAATTTAAATTAATACAAAAAATTAAAAATAATAAAAAACAAATATTTTATTATTAACAAAAAAATTTAAAATAAACTTTATAAAATAATTAAAAATAAAATATTAAATTGAATTAATAATAATATTAAAAAAAAAAACGAAATTTGTTTATTAAATTTTTATTTAATTATAATTTCCATAATATTATATGGGAAATTAATGTTGCTCTAATTGCACTTAAACAAAACGAAAAGAAAATAATTAAACCATATTTTTAGAAGATTTCCAATATTAAACATACTTAAAATAAACTTTATAAAATAATTAAAAATAAAATATTAAATTGAATTAATAATAATATTAAAAAAAAAACGAAATTTGTTTATTAAATTTTTATTTAATTATAATTTCCATAATATTATATGGGAAATTAATGTTGCTCTAATTGCACTTAAACAAAACGAAAAGAAAATAATTAAACCATATTTTTAGAAGATTTCCAATTTAAACATACTTAAGATGCTAATATCTAATAAAGTATAGATAGTAGTGATTAATTAAATAAAAAAATAAATAATAATAAAACAGTGAATCTAATTTCCAAAAAGACTAACAAGAAGAAGTAGACGAATTTTCAGATTCAAAAAATAACTCAGAAATAGAAAAAAAATAAAACAATAAATAACTATAAAAACAAAACTAAGAAAATAATAATAGTATTAGTATTACACATTAACAAAACTAAAACCCAATAATTAAAAGCTAGACAATAAAATAAAAACAATAATAAATAAATTAAATAAGCGAACAAATTAAATAACTTTAATCAAATTTTATAAATGAAGAAATTAAAATATAAAATATAGACTATGATTAATACACTAGTTAAAATTTTTAAATTTTAACTACTTTAAATAATGATATTTATATTGGATAAATATAAAATAATTAATTATAAGGATTCGGAACTGTATTTTGTAATGATGGAAGTTTTTACTAAGGATTTTTTAAGGAAGGATAATACGAAGGATAAGGATTATTTATTGATGATAATTTTAATTATATAAAAGGAACATTTATAGATGGAAAACCTAATGGGAAATGTTATTATAAAAATAAAATGGAGATGTTTTTGAAGGAGATATGTAAATTTAAATAAAAATATATATAAAAATAAAATATTTATATATGTAAATATAAATAATTTTATATATATATATAAATATATATATATATATATTTATATATATATATTATTTTTAAAAGGAAATAAGGAGAAAAAAATGGATATGGTTGTTTTACTACTTAAAAAGGATTTTAATATAAAGGAGAATTTATTGACAATTAAATGAATGGACAAGGTATTTATATTGTTAATGATAATTATGTATATGAAGGAAGTTTTAAAAATGGATCTATCAATGGTTAAGGAAAATGTATTTGGTAAAACGGGAAACAATATTAAGGAGAATGGCTTAATAATAAAATGAATGGTTAGGGATAATTACTTTTTTTAAATGGAAAAAAATATATTGGTTTTTTTTTAAAAAAAAACAAAATTTAAATAAATAAAAATTAAAGGAAATTTTTATGAAGACTTATTTGATGGATATGGTGAGTTTTTTTGGGAAAATGAAAATATTTATAAAGGAAATTGGAAAAAAGGGTAAATGAATGGTGAAGGAATCTTAATTTAAAAAAATAATTAAACTATTTAAGGATTATGGATTGATGGATAGTATTAATGGAACGAAAACACAGAATATTCAAAATCGTCTTTAGAAGAATCAAAATAATCATAATAAGCAATATTAAATCATAAAGATAATATTTGAATATATAAAAAACATGAGATTTTATGTATATATTTATATATATATATAAATATGATTTTTTTTAAAAAAAAAAATTAATAATTACTAAAAAATATTATTAATTAAATGTTTATTTTTTATAATGATAATTTATTTAATATGCTTTAATTATTTATTATTTAAAAAAAAAAAATGAAAAAAATAGAGTTTATAATTTTCCTTTTTAATTTTTAAAAAATAAACATATAAAAAAATGTAATATTTAAAAAATGTTAATTCCCTTATTATTTAATATAATATTTTAATTATATAAAATACAAATTTAATATAAAAAAAAAAATTCTATATTATATATTTCATGATTTAATTATAATTAGACTATTAATAGACAATATATATAAAAAGTTCTTATAAAAATAAATATTAAAATATAAAAAATTTAATAAAAATTAAAAAAATATTACCTAATAAAATAAAAATAATAAAAAATACATAAAATAATAATAACAATTAAAAAATAATCAAAAACTCCAAAAAAATAAATTCCCATTAATATCATTTGAACTAACTACAAATCCTTTATCTCCTAAATATTATTTCAAACAAACTACGGCATTAGTATGCCCTAATAAATTACTTTTCAATTTTTTATCACTTTAAACATTTCCCAGTCCAAAATTTTTTTTCTCGAACATATTTGCGACATTCCCTACATTTCCCTTAACCAAATCAAGCCCTTTTTATTCATTTCCAGCTGCCACATTTTTAATATAGGAAAGACTTCCATCTTAATTAACTTAAATAAGTAGTATCTATCCATCAAAAGTACCACATACTATTTCTCTTTCATTTTTAAATACGATTTAGGAAACTGGTAATTCCTTCAATAAAAGTGCTTTTTAATTAATTACACATTCTCCGTTTTTTTCATCAATTTAAATACAATAAATAGCCGAACTATGTGTTGAAAAAACGCATTCAGTCCCTTTTTCCGAAAAGCAAATTGCATCAACCCACCCTTAAGTTTAATTAGCTGAAACAATGCATATTTCCTCTAACCAACTATCAAATTTGGTAAATTTACCGTCGAAATTATTATCCTCATTATTTTATTAATCCTAATATAATTTCTAAAACTACTAAACATCTTATTTTTTCTCCACAGCATTTTACAAAATATGCCTATAATTCTCCTTTAAATTACATGAGTATATATATAATTAATTATCCATACAACCCACCCCAATAGCCTTTCCAGATGGATGAAATTAAATAGCAGAAATCGAACTTTTTTAACCTTTAACAGGAACTGTGGACCACCAATTATTTAAATTATCAAAATAACCTATATATACTTTATGATCACCACTTCCTATTGCGAATTTCTTACCGTTTTTACTCCATGTGCATTTCAAAAAAGCTAAAGAATTCTAACAATCTACGGCTTCTTTTACCCAGTCTTGGTTGTTTTTTTTCCAGACGAAAACTGACTTGTCATGCGATACGCTTAATAGCTTATTTTGAATAGAAAAAGATAAATCGGAAATTGTCTGTTTATGCTCTTTTAGGGTTGTTTCGTATTACCAAGAGTTTATATTCTTGTATGTGGAAGGGGATAGGCGGTATATGTCAATTACATTGGATTTTTTTAAGGATACAGCACAGTATTGACCATCAGGGGAGTAAGCATGACATACTATGCCTTCTTCTTTGAATATTTAATCGGTAGCAGGAGATTATTATTGCATTTTACTATTATTTTTAAAATACTTTAGTTTTTACTTATTTATTTTTATATTTGTTATTTTATTTTTTCTTTACTATATTTTTAATAAAGGAATCTTAATTTTATTTTTATTATATATAAAGATATATATATATATATATATAAAAATTAATGAATTTTTTTTTATTGAATTAATAAAAATAAAAATAATGTAAAATCATTAAAATATAATAAAAAAATATTTATTAAAAATTAAAAGAATAAAATAAATTAAAAATAATATTAAATAATAATTAATATATATATTAACAAAAAACTAAATATAATTAAAAAAAAATAAGTAAATAAAAACATATATATAAATAAATATATTATATATATATATATATATATATATATATATATATATAATACAACAATAAAAATATTTCAAATAAAAAAATAAATAAATACCAAAACACATGAATAAAAATAAATATAACACATACTCTATGACAGAGTAAAAAAAATAAAAAGTCCTATATCCATAACCATAAAATACACCTCAAAAGTGAATAATTATTTTATATATAAAACAAACGTGTTGTCTGTTTGAATACTAATAAAAAAATTAAACATTATTTAATAGCAATATATTGATCCGGTTTAATGAATTTTTGTGACTCGATATCTGAAAAAGTAGTAGATTCAATAAATGCTTTTAAGAACACATAGTTAAAATTTATAAATGTAGAAAAATAATAAATTAAACTAGTATCTATCTCTAAGTAATTTGGATAATAAAATTTTTAGTTTAAAATTAAAAAAAAGATATAAATTAATATTTTTATATATTTTTACGCATTTTAAGAGAGAAAAAAAACGATAGATACTGAAATAAAATAACCTAGATCTTAATTATTAGGACATACTAGGGCTAATTAATCAGTTTAATTATTTTTGGAATAATTAAAAAATTATAACTGGTGTACAACTGATTATATGGTTTCTTTATGGGATTTAAATAATTCTTAAAGAAATTAATCTATGCATTATTGCTCATACAAGTGATTTTTTATTGAATTAGTATACAAACATATTCCTGTCCGGTTTTTTAGATTTAATTCAAGTATAACATAAATTTACAGGACATAAAAGATCGGTTAATAATTTCAAATTCATGCGTTAGAAGAAGCCAACTACTTTTGCGAAATGAAGTGATGATTAATATATAAAAATTTTCGATTTAATAAAGAATGAGGAGGTGGCTGTATTCCAAAATTAGACAAATATGAATGAGGTTTATTCAATTTTTTTATTTAAACAGGAATTTTCATTTAAGCAAGAACAAAGGACTCTCAAATTAATTTTTTTGAAACATTAAAATACAGGAAATTTACTTAATTAGTATTAATTTATACAAGTTAAATGTTTAGAAATTTAAATGGATATATTTTTATTAGCTATTAATATATTAAATATTTTTTTTTAGTAGAATATATTTAATATATATTACTTATAATATTTTATTTTTTTTATTTTATTTTTTATATTTAATATTTTATAATTTTTTTTTTAATTCGTTTTTGTTAGAAAATTAAATAAATTATTTTATTATTATTTTAAAATGTCTTTTTAAACAGAAGATTATAAAAAAATATTATCAATTAAAGAAATTATAGCCGAAAAATAAAGAACAGATAGTTAAAAAAATATAATTTTATTTGTTTAATTTAAAAATATAGAACGAAATCAAACAATTTTAAAAAACAGATAATAAATATTATTTTTAAATAAAAAAGAATAATCAATCTAAAATTAATTTGTTTAAGATGCTAAATCACAAATTGATTAAGAAATTACAATATTTTAAAAATTAACTTTAGATTAATATATAGATGTATTAAAATAAATTGAATAATAATAAAATTTAAATAGCTAAGATATTGATTAAATAATTTGTTTTTTTAATTAAAGTAAATATATATTAAATATAAGATATTTGTATAAAAATTAATATAGATTATTAACAATAAATAATTTAGTATTTCTTAGAAAATAAAGGATTGTAATATTTATGCAACATTATATTGAATAAAAAAATATATTAATAACTTTAAGATAGTTTTAAAGTACTAAATTATATATATATAAAATTATATAGTTGATATATAAATAATAATAATAATTTTATAACGATATTTTATATGTAATGAATTATATTAATAAATATGTATATATATAGAAATATATATATATATATATATATATATATAATATTATATATATATCATTTATATATATATATTTATATTATAATTTATTTTTTATAAAGATTAAAATTTTTGAATTAATTTAATAATTTTAATAACAAGATGAGTTCTAATTTTTAATAATTTAAAATTAATAAAACCTTGAATGTTTTACAAATTTAATTTAAATTGAAAACTCTTTATTAGTATTAGATTAGGTATAAAATTATATTTTTATATTTATATATATACATTAATTCAATAAAAAACTATACACATAGTTTTTCGGAGTATTAGCCTAAATTTGTGATATTTGTACTTTAGAAAAAAAGATTATTTAAGAAATAAAAATTATATCAGTTTTGTTTGCTAAATTATTAAAAATTAAAAATAATCCTATTTAGATCTTAAAAACACTTGCTGTTTATTATTTAATTTATGTTATGATACCCCTGAAAATGGTAAATAAGATTATATAAAAGATGCTTTACCCATTTTTATTGATTTTTTGGCTTCTTAAAATGAATGCATAGTTTAAGAATCCGCTTTGATATTATAATTTTTAATTTGTAATTACTTTAGTAAATAATATAATACTGAATAATAAAATAATATGCTAAACTATTTATTATAATTTAATATTTAAAATAATTTAATTTAAGTATGCAAGTAAAATATATTTATATATAAATTAAAAGGCATATATATAAAATAGAAACATAGCATTTTCAACTCTAACATTAAATTCTTGTTTGAAAATATATTAAACTCTACTTTAAAAATGCTAATATAAAGAACAGATATTAAATATGGGTAATACACTTCTAATAAAAGAACTAATCTAAATATTTATAATATGTAAAAGAAAAGGCGAAAAGGTTACATAGATATCATTTAATTTAATAAATAAATACATGAATTATAATTATATAATAACTAATTTCATTGATTGTTATATTCTAGAAACTGAATTAAATTTATGTATACTTTATGCCTTAAAGAAAATTTGTGAATTAGGAGATCTTTGTTAAATAGATAGGTTATTAGAATAAGGCTTATTATTAAAGATTAAAATGTATATCGATAATAATTTTTAACTAACTGATGAAATTCTTATTTGTTTAGATATTATTTATTTTATTCTAAGTAAATTTGACAATAATGGTATCCTATAGAAATTGTAAATCTGTGGGTTAATTGCGAATATAGAAAATTTGTAATTACACAAATCACATGAAATATATTCAAAAGCAATTTAGATTATTGAAACCTTTGTCATAAAGAATTATTGAAATATATATATATATATATATGTATATATATATAAGCAAATATATATATATAAATAATTAATAAATTTATTTATAAAAGCAAGTAAATAAATTCTTTTTATTTAAATTTTTATTTATTATTTATACATTTAACCTATTTTTAAATATATTATATTTTTAATAATTAATATTATTACCTCAATTTTTTTTACATTTTAAATATAATATTTAATTTCAAACAAAAATTTTATATATAACAATTATTATTTTAATTTTATTTATTTTCTACAAAGCCTTCGTCTTTGTATCCCTCCTCTTCTACAGTATTTATGTGAAATATTAAATCCAAATTATTTTACACAGACAAAATAAGCAATTCTTCTTTTTTTTAAAAAAAATTAAAGATAAGATACTGTATATGGACATGAAATAAAAGCATAAATAATATAGATTATATATAGATAAATTATTTAAAAAAGCACATAAAAAAATTAGAATTAATATAATGTTTACAAATCTAAAACATATAATAATATTGTACTGAAATAAATAATAAACCGATTGAAAATGAATCTATAGAATAGTAAATAATAATTAAAAAATGAATCTATAGAACAAAAAATATTAATTAACAAACTAATCTAATTCTTAACAATAAGATAATTAAAAAGGATAATAATATTATAATTTAAAAAATTAAAAAAATAATAATAAATAAAAACGAGTAAATTAATAAAGTAAAAATAAATTCTTAATATAAACATTTAACTAAAACAAAATATTAGAATTATATATAACCTAATCTAATATATTGAAAATATAGAATTATATAAAAATAAATATAGCAATAATTAATATAATCATATAATTTAATTAATAGATACAAATAAGAGATAATATACAATAATAATTTAATGAATGAAATAGTAGTATTTAACAAATAAACAATAAACTAATATGTGCAAAGCACAAAAAGATTAAACAATAGAATATTAAATTGAATTAATAAGACAAAATAAAATTTTACAAACTTAAAATAAAATAAAAGTTTCTAAACATAATACATGTTTAGTTTAAAAATAAATTAATTTTATTTTAATAAAATTATAAATATAGATTATATTTAGTATCTAATGTTATATATATATATATATATTTTTTTATTAAATATATATATCAGTTAATATAAATTAATACAATTAAAAGTAGAATATATAAAAAAACCTGATTCATATGTAATGTAAAGATTAAATAAAATTTTTTTAAAAAAATATAATTTAAAAATTAATTTAATTGAAAAAATTTAAATTTTAATAATTAAAATCTGTATATAATCAAATATAGTCGACTCTATATTAAGTAAAATTTATAAAAATAATATATAAGTTTAAAAGAATTTGATTATATTAAATATATTTAGATATAATAAAACTAATTTATCTCATATTGCTAATGTTATTAATCTATTAGATGTTTTAATAATTATAGGTATTTATTAATAATCCTTCTGTATTATAAAATAAATAAAATCGTATTAAATTCGTATATAAAATTACTTATTTATCTTAAATATTGGATAGAAAACTTAAATTATAAATAAATTTACTAAAATTTAAGTGATTATAATTATTTAATAGTAAATATAGATAAAATACAAACTCTTAATTATTTTATTGAAATAAATTAATTATTTTAATAGGCTTAATAATATTTATATGCTAAAATTTTGTTTATATTTATAATTATTATAAAGCCTAAAAAAATATATATTACAAAAAGCATATGTTTTAAATGTATTAAAATTCAATATATATAGAAAAATGATAAAAAATAATAATATATTATTAAAAGTATTAAATAAAAAAAATAGTTCATAAAAGCAATTTAAAATAAAATATCAAATTTGAATTTTTTTATAAAAATATATATTTGTTTTATATAACAATAAAAATAAAAATATTAATATATTCTATAAATCTTTATTTATTTTTATAATAGAAATTTAAATTTATTATATATTTTATTTTATACATTTCAATAATAAAAAAGTTATAGTAATATAATCAAATTATTATATTAATTATAAAAAATAGCAATAAATTTCTATATATATTATATATATAAATATATATTTTTAATAAAATTGAAACTATTTAAATGACTAAAATAACAAGAATATAATCATTTTATATTTAAAAATAAAAATAGAAATAGAAAGAAATCATATTAAAAAAAAGCTTTTTATTTAATATATATTATAATATTTTAATATATATTATCACAATAATTTTTTTTTATTTTATATATAAAATAAAAAATACAAATATTTATTTATTTAATTCATATAATTTCTTCTTCTTCTTCAATTTTAATTAACTTATTATCTTAATTTTTGTCAATCAAATTTTCATGATTATTATTTTATTCTTATTCTTATTCTTATTTTTCTTATTCTTATTTTTCTTATTCTTATTTTTCTTATTTTTATTCTTATTCTTATTTTTCTTATTCTTATTTTTATTCTTATTCTTATTCTTATTCTTATTCTTATTCTTATTCTTATTCTTATTCTTATTCTTATTCTTATTCTTATTCTTATTCTTATTCTTATTCTTATTCTTATTCTTATTCTTATTCTTATTCTTATTCTTATTCTTATTCTTATTCTTATTCTTATTCTTATTTTTATTCTTATTCTTATTCTTATTCTTATTCTTATTCTTATTTTTATTCTTATTATTATTCTTATTCTTATTCTTATTCTTATTCTTATTCTTATTCTTATTCTTATTATTCTTATTAATGTTATTCTTATTCTTATTCTTATTCTTATTCTTATTCTTATTCTTATTCTTATTCTTATTATTCTTATTCTTATTATTGTTATTATTATTATTGCTATTCTTATTCTTATTCTTATTCTTATTATTCTTATTAATGTTATTCTTATTATTATTGCTATTCTTATTCTTATTCTTATTTTTATTCTTTATTCTTATTCTTATTCTTATTCTTATTCTTATTCTTATTCTTATTCTTATTCTTATTTTTATTTTTATTCTTATTCTTATTCTTATTCTTATTCTTATTCTTATTCTTGCTTTTCTTCTTGCTTTTCTTCTTGCTTTTCTTCCTGTTTTTCTTCTTCCTTTATTTCTTCTTTTTTTTCTCTGTTTCATTTATTTTTTTCACATTATTATCCTTAACATTATTTTTAGAATCTTTTTTAACATCTTTTTTATCTTTTTAAACTGCATTTTTTTTCTCAACATTATTTTACTTTTCATTATTTTTTTCACTTTATCCTTTTTCAATCATACTTTATGAAATTTTATTGGTAACTTTATTTTTCGATACTGCCGGTAAAACTTCGCCTTATTCCTTTTTAACTCCATTTTCTTATTTTACTTATTAGGTTTTAGGAACTGCAGTCTATGGTCTTTCTTTCTTATCTTATTAAGAAACTTTCGTTTAATTTGTTGATTATTATTTTGCTTCTGCGCTTGTTTTTTTGTTTTACTCTTATCATCTTCTCCCTATTTATCATTTACCGCTTTTACATTTTTTTGATGTTCATCTACGATTTATGGTTTTTTTGTGTGATCTACTAAAAATATATAAAAATAAAAAAAATTAACTTATATAAGACTCTTTTTTATTTTTACTTGATGTTTAAGGACGACCATTAGTATGAAGATTATTATTTTAGTGATTTTTTTTTTCGGTTTATTCAATTTTTAAACTGTTTACTAATTCAGTCATTTTTTCTAATGCTAATTATAATTTTTCTATTTAAGTATCTTTTTATTAATTGTTTTATTCAAGATTTTATATTCTTTCTTAATAAGGAGTTAATTAATTTAATAGATACTAATGACATTCTTCTAATGTTATATTATGATTTTGATCCATTTTGTTATAGATTGTATTAAAAAATTTTTCTGTTTTTTAAAAAAAAATTAATTTTTTTTTTTTTTTTTTAAATATTTTTTGTTTATAAAAATATCTATAATTTTTTTTTTATTTTATAATTTTCTTTATTTTATATTTATTTATTTCATAGTTAAATTGAATTTATAAATAATTAAGCTTAATTTATTTATAAAATACAAATAAAAAAAACTATATTATAAAAATAGATAGATTTTTTATATAAATAAACTGATTATTAAAATATATTGCAATTATTTTATTAATATTATCATTTTTTATTTTAGTAATTTATATTTTTAAAATATAAATAAATTTTCTTATTAAAATAATTTAACTTGATTTTAAGTAAAAAATATAAAAGTAAAATAATTATAAAAAAAATGAAAAGTCTATCTATATAGCTAAAATTAAATTTAGGTATATATAAACAAAACTGGAATTTTATCATTTTTTAAAAAAGCTCTTTTCCATGAAAAATTTTCATTTTCTAATTATATCCATAAGTCAAAAAATATAGAACTCATCATAAATAAATTAATTAATTTTAAATAATCATTTCAATTTATTTTATTAGCCCTATCTTATTCTTCAATAATATTTTCTTTATAATTATTTTTAACTAAAAGTATTTGGATTCTTTTTTTTTTATAAAAAACAATCAAATAAATATTCATATTAATTTTCTGCTCAAAGAACATTTTTTCTTAAAAATATAATAAACTAAAAAAAAAGCAATAAAGATAAGTATTTATAAGACCTGATTTGCAAATAACACATTAACTAATTATTATAGAAACCAAATTTTATAAAGAAAAATTTTATAAATCTAATTACATATATTTATTAATATATATATATACATATAATAAAAAAAAAACAAAAAATTATGTTTTAAATGAATAATATAGTTAGATATTTTAGAATAGTGATATATATGAAGATAGTCTCAAAAAAGGTTAAATTAGTGGAATAGGAATACATTATAATAAATAAAATGAATATGTATATATATTAAATAAAAAAAAAATATAATATTAAGAACTCTCAATAAATAATAAACTTTTATTTTTAAAATTAAATAAATAAAAAAAAAATGAATTAAAAAAAAAAATAAATATAATCTAAATTAATAATTTTAGATAAAAACAATTATTTGATAGTAAAAACTTGATTTATTTTTAAATTAGTTGCTTATAAAGTAATAATACTATTTTAAATTGATTTAATTATATACCAGAAGATAAAAACTTCGAAACAAGTTAGATTTTTAACGTTAATTAATAAAATAACCAAAAAATAATGATAAAAAATCCGTCTAAATATTGAATCCTGTAAAAATTAGTGTTTATAATTAAATTAATAATTGCTTTTTATCGTTTATTCTTAAGTTTTTTTAATAAAGATAATAAAAGTTCTTTTTTTATTTAACCTTTTAGAGATTATTATGTTAAAAATTAAAGTTAATTTTTTAATGAAATAAATATTAAATTGAAACTTTAATATTAAAAAAAAAATTTTGAATGATAATTTAATTTAAACTCAATAATAATTATATAAATGAAAATATTTTTACTAATATAAATTATTTCTTATATTTTTAATAAATTTAAAATAATTTTTATATTAAAATATTTTTTGTATATTTAATTATTATTATTTTTATTTTTATTTAAAAAAACATTAATATATATATATTATTATTTATTTTGAAAAAAAAAAACAAAAATATCATATAATATTAACTTTTATAAATGAAAGTTTACAAAGGTAAACAAAAAAAATTGTTTTTTTATGTTTTCTATAAATATTATTTCTTTAAAAATAATAGTGAATGAGCCAAAAGTAAATAAAACAATCATCCCAAAAATAAATATAAATAAATAAAAGTAATAAAAGCAACAAAAAAACTTAAATATAAACACAAAAATATCAATATAGAATTAAACAAACGAGCCTAACACCCCTTCATTTCTTTCAAGCAATAAAAAAATAATATAAGAATTAAAAGACAAAAATTTATATGATAATAGTCCATAAGAAATGAGTTTTGCATAATAATCTGATAAAAAACGTATAAATATATAGGAGTTTTTATTTAAATTAATAAATACAAAAATAAATAAGGTTAATTATTAATATAAAAATAAATATAAACTCCCTAAAATTTTGTTGGAGTATCCAAAATGTTAGCCTAAGGGTTTGCGAAATATAATTGCTAATCTCCTCTTTTAATCAGCCCTCATAATATAAAAAAAAAGAGTAAAAAAATGTCAATGGATATAAGTAGTAGTATGTTTGCGACAGACGGAAAAGAAAAAATTTAGTATAAACTATAAATAGATTAAATTAGGAAATAAAAGAATTAAAACAAAATCCTGTTTTGAAAAATAAGTCTATTTTATATATATAAGAAGATGAGAAAATTTAAGACTTATAAATAAATTTGGAAGAATATAAAAGAAAATATGTGAGTTTATTTTAAGAATATAATGATGTTTGTGTATAAATTTAAGAAATTAATTAAATACTAGAATAATAGGAAGAAGAGAATTAAGAATTAAAAAATTCAGTTTAAAATTTAGAGTTAAATAACTCTTTATAGAATAAAATTTTGGAATTGTAAAAAAATAAATTTAAGAATTATTATTAGAAAAATAATAATAGTTTAATTTCTAAGTACAAGAAAATAATAAATAAGAATAAATTTTAGAACTTTTAAGAATTATTGAGAAATTAAAAGAGGAAAATTAAGAGCTTAAAAATAATATTTTAAACGAAGAAATTGATAAAACATCTTTTTAGTTTAATTTTTTGACTAATTAATCCATTAATGATAATATTTAGTATGTTTAATAGAGGATTTAAGATTTATAAAAAGACGGTAAATAAGAAGAATTGCTTAATTGTTATTTAACTATTTAAAACTTACTCGGGAGAAATACAATAGAAGAATAAGAAAGCTTTTTGAAAGAAAAAAATAATCTCCATTTATAGATTAATGAAATTAAAATGATTATTGATAAATAAGAATAAGAAATTAAAAACTTATTAAATGAAAATAAAAATCTAAAAGATAAAAGCAGCCTAAAATAAAATAAAGATATTGAAAATATTAAAATTATTAATCATAGTCTTTCTAAATAATTAGAATAATCTTAATAATTTTTAACTGAAAGAAATTCAATAATTGATGTATTGTATGTATTTTATTTATTATTTATATATGTATATATACACTATACAATATATATTAAGAGAAAATGATTTAAAAGATATATAAAAAGAATAAGAATACATGTTAAAAGATGATTAACTTGTAGCTTTTTAATAAAAAAACATGGTACTTTTGTAGTAAAACAGAGAATTGTAAGAGTAAAATATAACACTCAATTTAAATATAGAAAAAGTTTAAAAAGAATATTCAAAAATAAATATAGAAAAAGAAGAATTAAATGATAAAATAAATAAATTAATTGATGAAAAGTAAAATTTTTTTTTTTTCTTAAAAAATAAAAAATAAATGAATTAATAAAATACAAAAAAAAAAGGAAATAATAAATTTAACTTTATTAAGAATAAAATAATTAAAATTAATTAAAAATTGAAAAACTTACAAATTAAAAATATCAATTAGAAAAATAAATAGAAGAATATTAAATCTTTAGTGTAACAAAAAATATAGATGAAGAAGGAAAATCTAAAATTAGCTGCTTAATTTTATTAAGAAAAAATATCTTTGATAAATATATTATTTAAATAGAATGCTCTTAAGAAATTACTATTATATTACCAAATGAAGTTACAGAATTATCACCTTCTAAAACTTAAAATTTTGTATTTTAATTAGTTCATAAAGTAATTAAAAAAATTTATAAATATATATATATATATATATATATATATATATATATATAGTAATAAAATAAATTAAATGTCCTAATTTTTAAGTTTAACCCAAATAAGAGTTAAAAAATATTTGTAAAGCAATTAAAGTTTTTTTTTTTTATTATTATTTTTATATTTAAAAAAATAAAAATTAAAAGAAGTCATTTATTAAAAGCTTAATAAAATTAAATAAAATATTATTCGTAAAAATTTAATAATAATTATTTATTATAAAATTAGACAGAATAAAAAAAATGATAAATTTATTATATAATATATAATTTTTATGTTTTTAATAAAAAATTAATTTATAACTATTAATAATAAAATATATAGTTTTTATAATTATTAATATTAATTTTTTTTTGTTTTAAATAAAAATATATTTTTATAAAATAAAATATAAATAATATAATTATATAGTATATAAAAATATATAAATATATATGATCTATTTATATATTTATTTATTATATTTATTTCACTTTATTTTATCTTTTTTTTTAATATTAAGATATCTATATTTTTAGTTTATAAAATAAGATAAAATTAAGTCAATTTATTAAATTACATAAGGAACATTATAATATTTATTTTAAATCATAAATCATTTATTTATTATTAAATTATTTATGTGAATTTAATATTGGTTTTTTAAATTTAAAAATTATATTATTTTTAATCATTCATTTTATTTCTTTTTGATTTTTTTACTTAATATCATATATATTATTAATATTTATTTCTTGCTTAATATTAATTTAAAAGAAAATAAAAATTATGGATAAAAATTTATTTATTATTTATGATTTTATTAAAATAATTAAATCATATTTTTATATTATATTTGTAAAATAATGTTTAAAAAACATAAAAATAAGACAATACATTTAATATATAATTATAATTATAAATATAAATACAAAAATATATTATTTTCTAATAATTATTATACAAACAAAATAAAAATAAAATAAAAAATCAATAAAAAAACAAAAATATTAATAAATGAATTCTAAAATTATTTTAAAAATAATTATATTTTTAATTTCGTTATTATCAATATCAACCTAATCAATTAAATTCTAATAACCCTCAAAAATATCGTCTCGTCTAACCCAAGAAACTAAAGACCCTTAATCATAATCTAAACCCAATTCAGAATCTCAACCCAATTCTTAATCTCAAAATAATCCATAAGCAAATTCTGAAACCGATGACGATGATTTTGATGATAATAGCAACTAAAAACCCACAGATAACACATAGACAACTTAAAATTCTTAAAAAGATCCTTTTTAACCTGATATAAGTACTGTTTATAAAATTTAATCAACTCGCATATAGATCGGTGAATATAAAAAAATCGAACATTAATTTAAAAAAGAAATTGATGATTATTAACCGGTGGCTTTTAATTATTTTGTAGTTGATAAAAAGCTCTCTTCAGATAAAGAGATTACTATAATGGTAAATGGACGCGCAGACTATTCTCATTCTCCATTACTTATTATAAGTACGTAAAATTAATATCCTGATTTATCCTCTTAAAACGATATTTTCTGTGGCTTTAAAGGAGTAGATTTTTGCTCGATTAATTCTCAGGATATTATTGAAAATCATGCATATTATATCGGCATTTTCTGCTAGAAATCCTGCAGATTTTCCATCTAAGTGATTTATGAGACTACTTCTACACTTAAGCTTGGAGAAGTGTCCCGATATGTATTCCCTGATGACGGAAAAGCACAACATATGGTCGCTTATATTGAAGTCGAAGAATCTTCATCGAATAGTAATGCATATGAGCATGTTTTAATTGAATCTTATTTATTAAATGCTTTAGATGTGAATGGATCTTTCCATATATATGTTAAAAAAGGTGATAGTATTCCAAACCCAAGTGATTATGACTATAATTCTGAGGAATTAATGTTAAATGGACTTGCAGTTTTGATTGAAGATAAAGGCAAAATTTTAAATAAAAGTAAATAAATCTACACTATAGCAATATCAGCGCCTTCTGGTTCTCAAATAATTTTACAAAGTGAAGGTTTTGGAAAAACTAGGCAAATATATTTAAATAAAGAAACATAAGACATGGTATAATAATAATAAATGAGAATTTTCGCCCTTTATTTTAACCTTTTTAGTGTTTTCGAACTCGACAATGACTAATTATCGATTGATTTGACCCCTTTTTTCGGAAACCCAGACTTATATATAGCCGTAAATTAACTACCGGATGATCCCACTAATTTATCTTCATATAAATTTTCTTCAACCTCAAAAGATGGAATAGAATCATTAACTATTTCAAAAGATTCCATTAAAAACTTGAATATGATCGATGATGTAATATATATTGTAGTTTTTGGAGAGACAGCATCTTCTTTTTCCCTAATTGCCTATTCTTCCAATTATTACGACCGAGGATTAGACTTTGATATAGTTGAGTCTGGTTATTTATAAAACTCCGGAATTATTTCTTACCAACTTTTTATCTAAAAATTGAATAATGACACCTAAATTACAGTCCAGGCGACTGCAATAAGCGGAAGCATGAACTTATATATAAGAGAGTGTTTAGTTACCAGTGTTTTTGAAGATTGCTTGATAACAGATAAGGAAATAAATGAAGAAAAATTATTATAAAAATCTATAGAAAACCAAAAGGATCATAAATTAACAATAGACTATAATATTGATAGATGTAGAGACGAAAAAGGCAATATGAGCTGTCTATATACTGTAGCTATCTAAGGTAAAGGTAAAGGAGAATCGCATTATAAATTAATGGCCAAAAGACCTAAGTAATAAATTTAATTAGTCGAAAATTAAAACTATAGAGGAATGATGGACATAAACACATAAGATTATTATAAATTTAATTTAAATAATATTATATAAAATACTGTACATAAGGTAGTTTTCCATTTCGTACCTATTACAGGCTATATTACTGTCTTTTCTTCAAGACAAAAGCCTTTCCCTTAAGATATTGATAATTCAGAAGATCTTTATTCTATATCGGAAGATGCCATAGTATATTAAGCTAAATAAAATTCATAGGAGGGTTTAAAAGGAAGCTTTTATATTAGTGTATTATCTTAGTCAGCTTGTATTTATAATATTTATGTAAAAGTCTATAGAAGAGAGAATGATGGATAAATACAATCAGTTATGAAAGAAATAGACTTCGGAACAGTAGAGAAAGGCTATGTAATGTATAATATACCAGAATCTTTTTACTTTAATATTAATAAAAGAACTGATGTAATTGAAGAAATTACAATTATGGTCTATTTTTCAATTTTTAAAGACAGTGTAATGGCAAATAACATAAAATTAAAACCTAATTTAGACTTAAAATTCTTAGAATCTTCTTAGTAATAAAACGAATAGTAAACTTTAATTGATATTCCCAGTATTAAAAATAATGATTACTTAGCTTCGGACTTCGTATATAAAAAATTCAAGCTTTTAGAAAAAGGCAAAAAGGGTTTATATATGATTTTATTAAATCATACAAATTAAAGCATGAAATAATACTAAATTTAATTCTCAATTAATTTAAATGCAAAAGATATTACATATATAATACCAAGAGGTGGGTATATATCAGATGTATCTTTATAATCAAATGACAAATATGAAATGTATTTAAGTGAGCCAGCTTAAATATACCTAGAAGTCTTCGAATGTCTCGGATAAGTACAAATTAGAGCATCTGATTCATTCTCAAAAGCCGAAAATGATGAATTTAATGTCAAAAGTAAGCCCTCAATGATTATTGGAGATCATACAATTGTTAATTTCGAAAGAAAACAAAAAGGTCCTTTATTTATTACAGTTTAGCCTTTATTAGGAGTTTAATATTTAAACTAAACGAAAGCTTTATATATGATTATTCCACATATTATGCCTTAGAACTAAGTAATTTTATTTATATTTATATATGTTTATTTATAAATTTAGGTTATACCACATTAAGTATATTAAATACCATCCAATGGTTAAATAAATGCTAGTGTAAAGGAAAACTTTAATATTGAGCTTTAATAATATAGCAATACTATAAATATATTTTTCGGTACTATTTAATGTGCAAACTAATGTATTGATTCGCTTTATAATGCTATAGAATATTAGTATACAGTACATTTGACTAATAAGTAATAATATTTGCAATATTTTGCCAAATGTGAGTTAGAATAGGAACTTTTGAATTCTTTAGGTTTAAATACAACTAATTTAGTATATGCATAGAGTTAGAAAATTTTCAATTAAGGTGTTTAGCCATTTAATCATACTTTCTAGTTTATAGATCTACCAAATGGTACTTATTATGTTGAAATTTAAGGTGTTGTTTATCTTTAATAACCTAATAATTTAAAATATATGGAACCTTTTAGCTTTATTTATCCATTCTAATAAATCACAGTAGGAAGTGATTAAATATTTAAAAATGTTACAAAAATAATTGAAACACATACTTTTGAAAAAACTTATATTTTCCCATTATGGATTATGGTAATTATAGGCATTTTGCTATGCTTATTGATTATAATATGCATTTATAAATAAGTAAAAATGTTCATTATTAGAAGAAATTATAGAATAGCTATGGCTAGAATTGATAAAGAAGAAGGATAAATTGAAAATGAGAACAATGGAGATAATATTAATGATGATGATGAAAAATAAAAAAACATTGATAAAAAAAAATTGAATTAATGAAATAAATTTTAAAAATAAGTATATAAATATAGGAAAATGTTATTATTCAAATATTTTATGTTTAAATAAATATTCATATTTTTTTATTAAATTAATATTATTTGAAAATATATATATATAATATATATATATATATATAATTAAATAATTATATATATATATATATATTTATATTCATTTTTTAATTTTTAATTTTTTCTTATTTTTATATTTATATTATTTTATTTTCATAATATATTTGTTTGTTTTTAATTAGAATTAAAATTAAATTTTTTTGTATTTTTATAATTTTTTTATATTTTATTAAAAAATAATATAAATTATTTAAAATAAATGAAAAATAGTTATTTTAATTATTCACCTAATTTTTTAAATAACTCATATATATTATAAAAAAGAACAAATATAAATTTTAGTTAACCTAAAAGAACAAATGCTGTTCTTCATACAACTTTAAATATTTCTCCCAAACGTTTCAATTTCAACGAATTATAATACCGAAGAAGAAGTTTGAATTTAAAAGAAAAGTATACAACAGATAAATTATATTCTTAAAATTAATAATAATTATTTACAAAAATAAATGACATAAATAAAAGAACAAATATCATATTAAGTAAGTCTTAAGATTATGATAGATATGAAAGTTATAAAAATGTAATTTATTTATTTTATATATTTATATATTTTTATATTTATATTTATATTAAAGAATCATTCTATAATTGAATTAAAAAAGAAAATACGAAGCGTAAATAATAGAAATTAGGAATATTTATAAAAAATAAATTAATTTAATAATAATCCAATAACTATATGTAATAATAACATAATTAGATTAGTCGTCCTTTTTAATAGATATAAAGGCCATTAAATATTTCCAATAATAACAATTTTAAATATAATAATAATTTAAATGAATAAAATTAATAATTGAATGGAGAAAATTAAAATTTAATTTATAAAATAAACTAACAATTCTCAAAATTAATTTAAACATAATAAAAATGTTCAAATGCTAAAAATAATTTAAAAGAATATTTTTAAATTATATAAAAAAAGGATGAATTATAAAATTAAAATGAATAATTTTTAGAATAAAAAGTTCGCTTTTAAAATCAAATTTTTTAAATTAAAGAATACTAGGAAAATTAATTTTATTTTTTAGAAAAATTAATTAATTAATAAATACTTGAAATCGAAAATATTAAAAGAACAGTTCATTTTTTATATAATTAAAAAGGATAATAATAAGAAAATAATTAAGAAGATAGTTAGATTTTTTAACAATTTTAAAATTAATTAAACCATTCTTATTAAAAATAAATACAACTATAATAACAAAATTAAAAATATTAATAAAATATAGTCCTTACATAATAGCAAATAGAAAATTTTTTCTATTAAGTTTAGTAGATATTGCCTATTAAAATAGAAAAAAATAACTCAGAGATGTTCTTTTAGATAAACGAGGAGATAAAAAAAGTCATAAATGAAAAAATAACTTTAAAGGAGATATTTAATTCTTAAGAATTACAAATATTATCAATGAAAAATTAAATGAAGGAAATGTAAAAAGAAAGGGAAGATTTATAAAAAATAAATAAAAAGATAAAATTGGAAGAGAAAATGAAAGAATATGAACTATTACATAAAACAAATTAATAATTGAATAATTTAAATAATCAATTACTTTTAAAATTGGAATAATATTTATAAGAAAAGAAAGATTTGTAAAAATAATGTGAAGTTTTATAATAAAATAAAAAATAAGAGAACTAGTATAATAAAGAATAAGAATTTAAAATAGAATATATTGTAGGTTAAAAAAATTTGGAAATTTAAAATCTTTAGATTCAATTAAATGATATTATGTCGATTAATAAAAATCCTTATTATATTTAAAAAGATAATAATTAGTCTCTTTTTTAAAATTAAAAAGATAATAATTCAATTTATTTAAATTAAATATAAAATAATTAATTATTAGAAAATTAAAAAATATAAATAGAAGAAATTAATAATATTAATTAATAAAAAACTTTAGATTTATAAAAAAAATTCGATTAAGAAATAACTTTCTTAAAATAATAAAGTGAATTATAAATAAAGAATTTAGAAAAATAAAATTAGGATGAAACAAAATAATTGGAAAATGAAAAAAAAATAATGGAAAATGAAAATATAAAACTCGAAAATTAAACAAAATAATAGCATTATCAAATTTAATAATTAGAAAATTAAATAAATTAATTATAAAATTAAATTAAATAATAGGAATAAAATAATACCAAATAATTAAAAAAAGAAAATGATTAATTAAATAAAGAAATTTAAAATAATGAAGGAATATAAAAACTATAAGAAATAATAATAAGATATGAAAGTTAAATTAATTAAAATAATTTTAATTTTATTGAAAAAACTAAATAATTATAAAATTAAATATAAAATTAATAAAAAAGTAAATTCTTCTTCTTCCTTTATTTTTTTTTTTATTATAGAATAAAAAATAATATATTTTTTTTATAAAAAAGAAATTTAAGAAAATTCTATTTTAGAAAATTAATTGATTATTTTATAATAAGAAAATAAAGATTTAAAGGAATAAATAAATGATTATTAAGAAAAAAATATAATTATTTAAGATAAAAATAAAGAATTAACATAATAAATAATTTAATTAAATTAAACTAACATTTAAAAATAGAATATCAATTAATAATATAAAGAAAAAGAAATTTAATTACATAATAAAATAAATCAAAATAATCCTCTAGAATAAAATATAGATAATATTAATAATTTTTTATAAGAAAAAAAGAACTAATAATATAAAAAGAACAACTTTTAGAGTATTAATAATAACAATTGGAATATTTTATTAGTTAAAACTCATTTTTGAAAGAAAATATTGATATTTTGAGTAATATATTAGAATAAAACAATGTAGAAAATACAAACAAATATAATTAAGAAAATTAAGTATTTTAAAAAATAATAGATGAGTTTAAAAATAAAGAAAAATTAATTAAAAATTTAAATGAATAAATTTAATAAACTGAAAATAAGTTTAATATCCAAATATAAAATATAAATATAGAAAAAAATAAACCTTTAAATGAAAAAAATGAATATTTATAATTAAATTTTGATAAAATTAAATAAAAATTGGAATAATTAGCTATTATTGTTGTTTTAAAAAAGGAAAAAGACTGTCTATAATAATAATATTCAAATGAATATGAAATTTTAGAAAATTAAAAACAATAAATTCTAAAAGAAAATGAAAAATTAATTAAATAAATAATTTCTTTAGAAAAAAATATTGAAAAATATAATATTGAAAAAGAATAACTTTTAAATGAAAACGAAAAAATTTAAAAGGAAAAAGAAAAAATTTAAAAGGAAAAAGAAGAAATTTTAAATGAAAATGAAAAAAATTTAAAGGATAAAGAAGAAATTTTATAGGAAAAAGAAGAAATTTTAAGGGAAAAAGGAATTTTGGAAATATAAAATTAACATGTAAAAAATTTATAAAATAAATAAGAAATAGATTTGTAATAAATTTTAAATGAAAAATAAAATTTATAAATAAAAAATGAATAATTAATTTAATAAATTATTTCTTTAGAAAATAATATTGAGAAACTTAATAAAGAACAACTTGATAATTTTAATGAACTATAAATATAATAAAAAGAAAAATCATAATTAATTCAATAATTGAACGATTTTTAAAGTAATAAAGACAATGAAATATAATTAATATTAAATAATGAAAAATAAATCTTAGTATAAGAAAAAGAATAATTATAATAATATATATTTTCTTTAGAAAATAGTAAATAAAATAACATTGAATAAGTTTTAACTAATGAAAAATAAACTTTAGAAACCGAAAAAGAATAACTAATTTAGAAAATAAATATATTATAAGTTAATATAGAAAAGAATAAAGAATTATCATTATAGGAAAAATAGATTTTAGAAAAAGGTAATAAAAAATTATAAAAAACTATAAAAATAAAAAAATAAAGAATATTTAGATTAGAAAGTTATTTTAGAAAATTAAATGGAATAATTACTTTTATAAATAAATGAATAAAAAGATATAATAAATTAATTAAAAAATGAAAAAAATAAAGAAAATTTATAAAGTTAATAACTTAAAGTAACCATTAAATAATTATAGGATGAATGTGAAAAATAAATAAATGAAATTCAAGAACTTAGTGATAAAAATAATAATTTAAATTAAAATTTAATATAAATAAATCAATTAAAACACTCTTTTTGTTAGTAAAATTAAGAGTTTATTAAATTAACTTAAAAACTCGAAGAAAGAGATTAAGAAAATACTTAAATAAATATAAATTATGAATAAATAAAAATATAAAATGAACAATTAAATGACTAAATATAATAAATAAAAAGTAAATATTAAGAGCTTTAATAATAAAATGAATAATTAAATACTTAAAATTAATAATATGAGATATAAGATAAAGAACATAATATAAATAATGAATAGTTAATAAAAGTAAACTAAGATTTGGAAATAAAATACGAAAATTTAAATATTATATATGAATAATTATAACTTTAATATAAAGAGTAATTAAAAAACTATGAAAACATATAAAAATAATAAGAAGAATATAAAACGAAATATGAATAATTAAATAAATAAAATGAAGAACAATATAATAAATATTAAGAATAATAAAAAAATCTATCAGAATAATAAAAAAATATAGAAGAACAATAACTAAAATATGAAGATCTGTAATAAAAATATGAAAAATAATATAAATAATATGAATAAAAATAATAAGAATAAAACATATATTAAGAATTATAGAATTAATATGAATAATTGTATATATAATATAATAATATTTAATAAAAATAATAAGATAATATTAAAAATGAAGATCTATTGTAATAATCACTATTATAATAAGAAAAATAATACTAAGAATTATATATTTAATATG